ATCTATCTATCTATCTATCTATCTATCTATCTATCTATCTATCTATCTATCTATCTATCTAACAAAAGTGGGCTAGAGATATTGATGGCAGTTTCCAACTTTTGATGTTTTATTGTGAAACCTTGCATTAAACATCTCATCTATGTAATCCTTACTTCTTGATCATATCCTGCTTTGGAGGGCCTTTCAATTAGGTTTTTATTTTCCTGTTGGAACTTCAGATGAGACCATGAAGGAGCACTAAAGTTTGCCGTGCAGGAAGAGCTAAAGGGGATGGGGTTGCAGAGGAAATGGGGTCATGGTTTTGGAATACAGAGACTCAAATAGATTATTCTGTGTCTCCAAAGAAGAAACAGGATATAATAAAAAGAATAACAATTACAAAGCAAACAAGTCCTAGCACTCATTTTAAAAGCATTATCTATAATCTGAATCTCCAAGAGAGGAAATTGGGGCTGGAAAAAAAAAAGCAAAACTGAAGACTGTTATTCATACAAAGATTTTTTTCTGAGTGGACACTAAGTAGAGAACAATTATTTTATTAATACTTGATTGATCTTCAGTATACCAAAGGGCTCAATTTGCAAAGCAGCGTGAGACAGTAATACATTTAATTAACTGTGATAATTCACACTTGAAGGTTGACATATGCCTTAATAAAGCATTCAGATTAGTTACAGTTGATTTGTCTTTATTGAAATGGCATAAAAATCAGCATATAGTGCTATTTCACTCAATTAAAAATAATGATATGTTAATTTAACAGCTTAGCCAGTTATTTTCGTTTTGATTGCTTTAATATTTTAGCAGACAACTGACTGTTTCTGGGAGAAGAAGCTTTCTAATAGATTTCTGGGGAAGAAAATAAATTTTAAAAAAGAAATGATTAGATGGATCTCTTGAAAGCACTGTGGGCCAGATAGTTCTGCTACTGCGCGTAAAAGTATTGTATTCATTTAAAATCTCTCAAGTGACGGCAGTAAAAAACAGTGATACAGTCCACAGTCTGCCAAGTGGTGATCTGTACATAAAAGACCTTTTGTTCATAGGCTTAAAATAAATTTGTACCTGAACATAAATGTGATTTATATGCTAAATTCCTCCATATGGTTGTATAATGCAGCTAGAATAAACTGACAACCTACAAATAGTCCAGGGTTTAAATGTAGCTGTATCTACCCAGGGAGACTCATGTCTTCTGAATCTACAAAATGCCCATTATTTCACTGCCAAGGCTTCAGCTTTTACAAGAATGCGTATCTGTGTTCTCGCATTGTTAAATGAACCAAATCTCAGCAGTTGCAGGGAAAGTAAAGCAAAATAGACCACGAGTCAGTTTGTACATCATACTGTTGGAAATAACTCAAAGCCAACAAAAAAAAAAAAACTTGGATCATTGAAAACAAAGAGGATTTTAAAAAAAAAGAATAATAAGGCCGTTTGCAAAGCATCACTGGTCTTTAGAACCTTAACAAGCAGGTTCAAAATCAAGCAGGTTCAAAAGCCACACCTTTAAAACCTCAAAACATACTTTATATACAATTTCATCTTGTCACCCAAGTTCCCTTCTTCTTGAGACTCATTCCCTCCCAAGTTCAAGCTCATTGGATTTGCCCTCAGGTGTTGCAGCTAATCCCAGGATGTCTCCAGGAAGAATTGCCTCCTTTGTTATGTTCTCATCCATGCCCACCCTACCTCTTACTTTGGCTGCACACGTGGCATCTTTAAGGAATGTAGCATCTCCTCATCAGGGCCTCTTTCTAAGCTCATCATATACTACCACTTTTCCAAAGAGATTATAACAACACCCCATCCCCCCAACATCATAATAATATAAAAGGCATATACATAAGATAAAAATATCAAAGGGCTTAACAATGGAGCACGTCAAAAGTATAAGAGCAAAGCATGTATATACAGGGAGATATATTTCATTTGATAACAGATTAATAGAATTGGAAGGGACCCTGCAAGTTCATCCAGTCCAACCCCCATCTGTAAAACATTTAAGCATCTTATATACTATTTTATTTTTTGAATTTACTTATTTCTAACAATACTAAACCATAATTTAATATTCTGCATCCAATCGTGAATGAGGCTGGTGAAATCCCAAAATCCACTCTCTCATTTCTCTTTGACTTCAGCACATTCCTCATTTGTCACTATGTTAAACTCTGAAGTAAGATTTAAAACAAATACTAATTTAGCAGTAGATGCGGATACTAAGATTTACCTGTTGTTGCAGGCTCCAGTAATGCTTCTGTACTTATTGGTTGCAGAGTTATTTTGACACTTGGGTGGTAGCATTTCAGGCACACATCCAGATATATTGGAAACCACAAAGACAACTTCACTAGATAACAGATCTGAAATTAAAAATATGCCATAATTCTTACCATCAATAATGTGTTATGAATAGCAAACCTTATCACAAAGTCTATATGACTTTTTTTTAACTGCCTACTGCACCCAAGGCAGGTCTTTCCTTTGGGTTCAGTAGGCAGTTTTGATATTTTGAAAACAACCCATTAGTCTATTCCAAGCCATGAACAAAACTATGAGCTAGTGCCTTCATCTTTACTATTCTAAAATATCCAATTATTCAAAATTTGAGAGCTTGGCTTGAACAGTAGGGCAGTTCCAAATAATACAGACACTGTCAACTTCATGAATATACTGATAACATTTCACAAACTGAGATTTTTGCCATATGTTCCAGCTACTCTCATCTGCTGCTTAGATTTAGGAGAATGTTGGCTCACTCTTAATTTCCCTTCAAATAATCTTAGCTGTGATAGGAAGATTTTCAAGGTCTGGAAAGAAAACAATGTCAAAAAAGTGTCTCCATCTGAACTGGATATTACAAATTGTTTCTTCTGTAGAGATAAATTAGACAATCTGTTCTCATCTGCATATCTGTGTATCGATTAGAATGCTGATTAATATCAGTACAATCCGAAGAACCAAGCCCAATGATGCATTTGAGCACTTGCTATAAGAGAAATTGTTCTTTATGGACTGAAAATTGCCAGTAGTGGTTGATTATCAGGATGCACATCCTTTCTGTTCAAGTATTTATTGAATTGCTTAACTCCCCAAACCAAACACAGCTGTTTCCTGTCTGCTTGTGCATAGTTCTTCTGTACAGCTATGAGAGAGCATTATGGGAAAGCAGTCTCTCATGACACATGAGATAACGATGACCATATTATGTTGTGAGGAATCACATGCCAGCTTCACTGATTAATGTGGGCTATAAGGTGGTAAACATCATATATGATGTCCCCATTTTCTTTGCTTCTCTGAAAGCTTCTCATGAATTTCTTGTTAACTGATTCTTGTGAAGATTTCTACAAACAGATTCATGAAAGAGAAAATGGATTAGGTACAGAAATCTTGATGACTAGATGCTTTCATTTTTAGATCCCAGTATATCTCTGAGTTGCTGATACTGGGGAGAGACAGTATTCATCTGGTTCCCTGATAAGGAAAAACATGCAGGTGTTCCAAATATGTTTTTTCCTGAAACCTCCAAGTTGTGAGAAGATCATAACAACTCTTTTCAATGTTTCTCCACGATCACGTCCAACCCAGTTGTAATAATGTATTCAAGGTCTGACACATTAGTTGATGGCTAAATTGTCAAGAATTGGTCATAATAATTAATGCATACTAAGAAGCTGTGACATATTTTGGGTCATTCAGAAGTGTGTGATTTTTCTCTGCACACTCCTGTAGGTTTTGTGCACCAATGGTATGACTTCAATTTGTTATACTAGTTTTAAAGATTTTGTGTTTGTTGTGTCATGCTCAAATACCATGTTCTGCTCGTCTCTTCAAAGCTGTCTTGAGATTATGTAGATTCACCTAGCAATTTTCTCCAATAATTGTGATGTCATCTAAATAGCTCTAGGAGCTTGGACAGCTTGATAATAACTGATCTATTGCTTTCTGCAAAAGTATTGATGCTGATGCTACAGTTAAAACAAATATTGCAGATCTATTGCCATTTCTGCATGGGTTTCATGAGAAATCTATAAAAGCTTCATCCATTTCTATCTATAAAAAAAAACTGTTTTAGATCTATTTTGTGAAATATTGTTCCCCAAAGTGATTAGCAAAACTATCCTCAATTCTTATTGTTCCACTAGTAGTAATGATTTAATGGTAACTTTAAAGTATCCACAGATCTGACAAATGCTCTGCTTAGCTGTGGAAACCACAGATGTAGAACCGTGGAGTCTAATAAACTTTTCAAGGAATTTCTTCAAAGTTTCATCTGATCCACTTCAGTGGCCATTTTTCTACATGATCTCTGGACCTGGGCATGCTTTATGAAACATCACTGTAGCATGCTCCTCTGTTTTATCTTTGATGTCCTTGAGTGAACCAATGCTATCTTTGACCACAGTTATCTTTGTGACAGAAAGTATAGCAGTATATGCCGGCTATTGATGGGGTCTTAAGAATTACAACCTATACAGGTGGGCCAAGGGAAATGAGCAGCAATACAAGATCACAGCTCAGCTTGATTAATCGCTAACAATGTGACCCAATATTGAATGCCAGCACATAACAATTCAGGGTGGCCCTCTTCTAGCCTGGCCATAATTGTATGTACACATCAAGAGATTAGCCATTTCTGACAAAGCTGTCAAATTCATAGCCTGTTGACTCATTATATAGGGAGCGAATGGTTTAAACTATGCAAATAAATAATATAAGCACAAAAAGCTTAAATGCCAATTGCTAATTTGCATGAATGTTCCTTGGCATTTAGAAAAATAAAGAAAAATATTTTTAACAACTCAAATGTTTGTAACTTTCTCAAACATTTATATATACGGCTAGAAACTGAGCAACCCCTTTGTTTCTAATAAACTATATGCAACAAACAACAGCAACTATTTAAATATCCTGAAGAAGCAATTAAGTTCATCATCATACACAGCTTTAATATGTCCTTGTTATTTGGTAAACTTGATTCCCGCCCCCCAAGCAAAAATACAGTTTTATAAGTGTTTTCTTTTCTCTCTTTCATTTTTTTAAAAAAATCAAACATTTGAAGTGTTTAGCTGGGACTTCAAGCTCTGCTATAAATTTAAGTCTGACCTATGGCAATGTTTTTTTTAAAAAATAAAATGGTACTGCTTTAATCTAAGAGACACAACCCACTCAAACAACCACAGGGTTCCATTCCCAGTATTATCCTTAGGTATTTATTCACCGTTTAGAGACAGCATGCGTTTATGCTTTTGATGTTTTCCTTTCAAATCTTGCGTGGAGGTTTCCATTTTTTCAGCTGCTCGAGATAAAACCTTGGTCTCTTCTTCCAGGTAGTTAGGAAACACTGCATAAGCCAGTGTTTGACTTCTTTGGTGAAGACTACAACAGAAATAATAAAATGAATAATAGCATTTCTTAATTACACTGGGTTTAGATGTGCTCTGGGAAAGCCAGAAATAGAAGCCTCTTTTATTATTGCCAGGAAAGACGCTTAAATAAACATAATTGTCCAATAGAAAGGAGTAATTATTTATATTTCTGTGAACTAGATTACAGTCATCAGCATGTCTTTAAGAATGTAATTTAAAAACTTAAATTTGCCCTTGCATAGGCTTTGAATATATTTTCTGCTGGCTTTTAATATTAATGCATATATTTGATGTTTGGCTTGCTCCTTTGGGTATTAAGGATAGTCTTCAAGAACAAATGGAATGGACCCTTCCCTTCAGGAGTGTCAAACTCACGTCGTCATGGAGGCATCGTGTGACATATTTTTGGTAAACTGGGCTTGGGCGTGGCCAAAGTGTGATGCATCCGGTCCATGGACCAGGAGTTTGACAGCCCTGAACTAATACCTACCTACTGATTATTTACTGAAATCTGATTTGTTCCTCTTCTGTCCAGGATGGAAAAGTGGAGATGATTGAGATTACTACATGTGGAAATTTTTTTTATGAAGGTGGATTGAAGCATTTAGCATGAAATGTGAGGGAGTTAAAAATGCACAGGCACAAATTCACCTGAACCAGAGTCTATATTGCACTAAAAGAAAACTCTTACAATATGTGGAACAAAACTTTTCTATTTCATTCATAACTTCTAACGCTGATGATTGTAGAATAATTCACAATGTTTACTGACCTTCTGAAATATCATCTGCTTCTTTGGGGCATATAAATTGATTTTTTTCCACTTCTTTGAGTGCCATATGGCTCTTTTGTATCCTCATCGGGATACAAAGCAACAACAGCAACAACAACAACAACAACTATCAGCTGAGAGGATGCGATATAAAGAGACATTGTCTGCAGAAGTGGTTGCAGAATAATCCTTTATTGGAAGTTTAGTTCTGCTTTTGTCTCATAAGTATATTATTTAGTGCTATGAGATGAGGGGTGGGGGGAATCTGAACAATCTTTCACCAAAGTATAAAGAAACAAAATTTGTGTGCACTGTATTTTATCAACTCCGATCGAAACCAAGTTTTCAGTTACTATAAGAACAAACTAGTTGATGTATCACATGGCTAACACCCAGCTGCTCTCCTGTTATTATTTTTTCTTTACATTAGAGAAAGAACACAATGATTTGATCTAGTTTGTGACCTCCATTTTCTTTCAGAAATGTACTTCTATATAAGATTTTTTTAAAAAAATGTTAAATTTATGACAAGGAAGGAGAATTTAAAAAAAACCTTGTGGGTAATATGCATTTATATATCTCTATCTATCTATCTATCTATCTATCTATCTATCTATCTATCCATCCATCTATCTATCCATCCATCCATGCATCCATCTATCTATCATCTATCTATCTATCTATCTATCTATCTATCTATCTATCTATCTATCT